TCACCATATTTTAAGGACAAACTGAACTGTCCACCAGCCAGGATAAACAGGACTAACAGAATCGGTCATTGTATTTCCGGGGAAACTGCCAAACGCTGCTGCACAGCAGCCACCAGACTAAAACCAGCACTGATGAGGAGTCATCCTTCTTCTAGCTGTGTTTATGGGGAAGAGCTGATTATGGAGGTCCAGAGTCCTGCAGCTTGGGAATAAAGGGATGAGTAGACGAGAAAGGCTTTTATCGATTGACAGTCCTCCTTTCAGCCCAGCAGACAGCATTACAGATCATATGAGTGCCTGGAAACTGACTGGCCTAATATGCTGAGAAATGATATGCAGTCTGATTCACCTCTGACAAGGAAAACTCATCACAGCAGACTGACCAATGACATCTGCAGCAATCTGTGCAGTGAGAGGATAGCAGGAAACGACAAAATATCTCCCAGCATCAACCATATTTATTACCATCACAGCCCAATGCAGCATCCACAGAAAGACAGACAGCAGGGTGTAAAGGCTACAGGGCTTCACTATTCATCATTAAACTAGGTGAATAATGTGGCCCTATCAAATGCCCATGGTCAGCAAATAGTAGCCTGAGGGCCAAATCTGGCCCACCACCAGCCCCTGAAAATGAGATCTGAAATTTCCACTCACTGTGCTACATTCAATCTTTTAGGCACTGGTCAGAAATGTACTGCATATATACAACATTAACATAAAAAAACTAATGCCAATGAGAATGACATGAATCTACTATTCCACCCACATGTGGAGAGCAAACAGATACTACGCCTTCTTATGTGGCACCAAATCTGCCATTTCAGTTGAGCTATAATGCAGAAGTTACAGGTCTAACCCTGTGGCAACTTTAATCAATTTAGTTATTACTAATATTATTACTTATTAGTTGTTATTTATAAGTTTTGTTGGCCAATCTGGAAGTTAGCATCGCCCTGGCTCCTTCAACAAAAATGCAACCCATTGGATTGTTGATTTTTGGAGAAAATAAGCTCTGTGGTAAAATGGTAAATGGACCTGACTTTTATAGCGCCTTTCTAGTCTTTTGACCACTCAAAGCGCTTTTATACTACATGCCACATTCTCCCTTTCACAGACATTGACACACCGATGCACTTCGACATGTGGCGGGAGGAGCCGGGGATCGAACCAACAACCTTCTGATTAGGGAATGACCCGCTCTGCCTCTGAGCCACAGCAAAACACACATTTTGTTCATCAAGATAATCACAAATGACAACTTTTAAATGTAATCAGCAGAAGAGCTAACGTTATATAAAAAAAAACACACACCATGATCGCATGACTTCAACATCACCACCACTAAACTTCCAACTTGTAATTAAATTGTGTCATTAAAATCTAGTTTGTAAAGTTTGAGTTAGAATAGTGTGAGTATAAACACGATGGGGCTGTAAAGGCAGACTAGTTAAGTTTCAAAAGGTGAAAAGATTTAGACGTATTTTATTTCATAAAACACAATGTCAAAATCTAACCAAAAAACCCATTCAAAAAAGTGATCTTTAGATGAAAAGTTGCAAATAAGTTCTTCATAAGACATTTATTTGCAATTTTTCGGTGCTAGACTTTCATCCTGCAAAATGTATTATTGCAAGTTAGACAGTGTGTCGGAGTGCTAATGTATTCCAAGAATCCCAGGGTTAAAGAGATTGGATTAGTTCCTGAATTTAAATTCACATTTGCTAATAAGCACTAAACACAAAATACAGCTGAAATCGATGGAACTAGAAAACTGTTGGACAGATTGTGACCTGATGGTGTGATATGAAAAGTCAGGATCACCAAAGCCATTAGGATTCTTCTTCTGGTAACAATGACTATAACAAATTTTGTCCCAATTCATTCAGTAATTGTCAAAACTAAATCCCTGAATCGCCAAAGTCTTTAGAATTCTACATCCAAGGTTTGTACAAAATGTCCTTGGAATCCATCCAGTGTTTGTTGAGATATTTCAGTCTGGACCAAAGTGGAAGACCAACCAACATTACTATCCAGCGTCACTGGAGATTATTTGTGCGCCTTAACCTCACTTTACCTCTCATTCTGATAACACATCTGGTAGAAATGATTCCCTTCCAGCTCTCAGCAGCCTGCTTGAACCAGCGTGATTGAACCATGAAAGGCTGGTGTCAGTCGGCCCACTAATAGAGCGCCTGTGAGGCAAACAGCTGTCAGGGATGACTGAATTCTGCTTCGTCACGTGGCAGACGGGAGCTAAAGAGACCCCATTATGTCTTATGAGAGGGATCCACAAAGCAGCTTTCTCCACTGCAACATCAGGGGGAGATGGAGCGCCATGCATGGAGAGGAGGGAGGAGAGAGATGGAGACCAACATACAGAGACTGAGAGGGAGGAGAGGGATGGAGTGAGAGAAAGGAGGAGAAACCCGACCTACTTCTCCTTGGCTTATTTATATGCTGAGGACAACATAGTGAACCAACCAGAAGCCTGGAAGCTGGCATAGCAACAACAGTCAGAAAAACCCCAGTCTGAAAATCAATTGCTTAACAATACAAACACTTACTGCTAGGCAGTGAATTTATAAGAAAAAATAAAATCTGAAAAATCTACAACCCTGCCTCCTAAAATGTACAACTAATTTTCATTCATTTTGGACAAATCTGCCAAAGGTCCACTGTAAACATTTTTTTATATTTAACTTTCCTACAATCTCTGAAATCTGTCCACTAAAGCACGATTACTTACCACTTTTTTGAGCTCGTATTGTAATAAAAAACACTAAGTAACACTGAAACTAATAAAAACTAAACTGAAATGAGAAAATCCAATCTGGAAACTAAACTGAATTGAAATATATATTTATGTATATTGTATATATATACACATCTATATATATATAAAATATATAAATAAAAAGAAATAGAGACCGGACAAATTCAGAAAAAATTTACCACTTCTGCCACACTTCAAGTGATGTACTGTGTAATATTACTATACTAGCTAGCTCGGTTAGTTTGCCACCACTGTTGGAGCTGCTGATTTGCTAGACATCATTGTAAAAGTAACTTTACATAAGAAATAAAGGGAGAAGTACATGTGAAGTGTACATTCAAACGCACGCATACTATAGGGAGACGCCACTGCAGTAATGGTGACTTCTTTACTTCCGGTACTTCCCCTGATTTGTGTATACCTTCTGTGCAAACGGCATACATCCTGAATTGGGAAAAGAGAGTGTAACAAAGGCAGGAAGGAAGTTTCCCCCAGAATATCTAATATGTGGTAAATCAAATTAGTAGTACATATAGTATGTAGCTTGTAGGAGACAGAATTGAAAATGATCAGTTACATTGGAGTCTCTACCTCTACAAAGCAGCAGTCCAGTCATTATGATGAGTGGTTTTGGATCATAGTTCTCTATGGCCCAGCCTTTATGATTACTGGTTTAGCTGAAAGTACTAATGTACAACTATATATCTATATGCCTTTTATTGAATATGCCAGGCTCCTCAGTGCTTCAGTTGTGCTATAATGACCACATCGAGGAGTAGATGTTTGAGCAAAGTGCTGAGTCAGCAAGATGCCACTGCACTAAGCTTATCCACTTTCTGCCTAGACATTAAGACTATAGCAGTCATGGGAGATGTCTCATCCTAAAAGGAAGGAAAATAGTAACAGTGACAATAAATGTTTATCTTACAACGTGCCCTATGTATCAGACATCTCTACTGTACTAACAAGTATGTCATCTGTTCTGGTAAATAAAGGGATCTGACTTGTGTGTATTTGCTGCTTAAATGTCAGACCTTTACACACACGACAAAACAATATCCCAGGACAATATGATGTGATCTGACTAAAGCGAACACGATTCACTTAAGGCCACAACGTACAGGTAAACACTGGTTCTGGCAGCAGTAGGACCTGATCTTCTTTCGCCCCATTCATAGAAATTGGTAGGTTAGGTACTTAAGGCCTGATTGAAACAGCATTAGTGGCCATTGTGCATTACAGAATAACAACACTTTAAACGCTCAAGTCCTGTTTCAGACAAGCAGGGTGAGCAGCTAGAGCTCTTTAACATCTTGGCAGGGAAATGATGAAAGCACATATGTGCATCCAGGTACTTGACACACTGTGAGTGTGTGTCGCATGGACCTGAGAGCTGAGATAAGACAACTACTAAACAAGCCATAACTGGGACACACTGAATTATACATCAATATCCAGATAGCTTAGCTGGAGCGGTGACTTGATTACCTGTCATATATCATTAATCTGCAGTATGTGACATGCTGTACTGTAAACTCCACACAGAAAGACACTCTGCACAGGTTTAGAAGCACACACTACAAGTGTGGGTAAGGTAAAGATTATGGTTATGAGTACTTCATTAAATTAAAGTAACTGACTGTTTTCTGACCTGGAAATGATCATCATGAGCCAGTTTCTGACTGGAACAGACGCACAGTGCTGAGGTACTTGATGAACCACAGGGCATCTACAGGCACTTACAAAATGTGTTCAATTTAACAGTATAAGTGTTTTATTTTCTTAAATTACATGTCGCCATTATTTGACCATTTTGCTAAATGTAGGATTACAACGCTTTTTAATTTCTGTGCTATCTGCACATGACAACTACAGTATGGTCACTGTTAGGGAAAGATTGTGGTTATGAAAAATAACTTAATAGTTAAGGTTTCTTCTGGGTTAGGCAACTAAAACACTTGGTTATGGTTAGGGAGAAACCTAAGCCTAACCTTACATCTCAAAAATCAACATCTTCTGACCAAACTTTAACCATACTACAAACTTATCATAAAGCAAAACACTTATATGCTTTTTAAAAGTGCCTGTGTCTCCCAGTGACACCAAGATTGTCATAATTCTAGTATACCCCAGCAAAGACGGCTCCATGAACTGCACTGTTTAGGCATTACTGCATTTACTCCCCCATCTGGAGTGTCTGCTAGTGAGGTTTGAAGAAACTCACCCTGTTAAAGCGCTTGGCCTGGAAGAGGTGTCCGTTGACTCGGTAGAGTTTCCTCCATCTTCTGGCCCCGCGGCGATAGATCGATTCTAGGAGAGAGAGGAAACAGTTGTAGAGAAGGAGCATGGTGAGCAACTAACGGGGAGGGGGATGGAGATCTGCTAACTAGAGGGGAGAAAGATGGAAAGGAGAGGAAGAGATGGAGTGATAGAACAGAGTGAAAGCTGAGGTACAGGTCCTGAGGAGCTTCCCTCGTGTGAAGTCTGAGTTCAAGTGAGGGGAAGACAACCATCGGGTTTATCTATGATACGCATGCTCACACACACACACACCAGCCACCAGCACACCACCACCACGCAGCACACAGCCACACCACAGCAGTGCCTGCCTCCGCTCCGTCCAAACTCCCGTCCTCACGCAGTTACTCAGCTTCTTTCAGCGCCTTTTTTCTTCTTCACAGGTCCGGCGCCTTCTCCTTTCTTGTACATCGCTTGGTGATGCAACTGGCGGACGCTCACAACCAGGGCCGCGCGGCCGAGTCGCTCCATAGGGATCGCCTCAGTATTCAGATAAGAGTGGCGAAGGTGTACAGACTTTTTGTTTTTAAAAGTCCAGAGGACCTCATGGTCGTCAGCTATTAACCACTACACTTAGGGCGTCACAACATTCTGGCGCTACGGAGCGAGTGCCGCGGCGCGACGCCCCGGCGCGTGCGCGCGCTGAAACGCAGGGTCTGGGTCTGTCCGCTCGAATGAATCCACACAACCTGGATCAAGAAAAGACCAACTCCACTCCTTACCACAAAGGTTGGCTGGAATTCATGGACAATGATTCCGTTCTTGAAGCGCCTGCTTGAAAGAGACCGCTGACAAGGGTCAGTTCCATTTACTTTTCTCAAAATTCTGCACACAATTGAAGAAAAGATTGGGTTTAAAAGTTCTTGGTTAAAAAAGACAAAGAAGACCGGAAGTGCGCCCTTCGCATCTTTCTTGCTTTCCCAAAAACAACAAACCACACGCTTTAAACAAAAAAAATTGAGAGATTTGTTTGCGTCTTTTGTTCGGAAAACAAAAAAGCGTTTGCCCGCAAAAACAAAAAACAAGGACTTTTTGCGTCTTTTTCCTTTTTCTCTCCCCAGCCTTTGAGGGGGGAGAACGAAAAAAAGCCTCTTTTTGGCCCC